CAGTTATAGATGTAGACACGTTGACGTACAAATACTTAAATGGTTAGATATATTATTATTTACGAAGTACCTAATACATTTAATCAGATACGCTGAATGCTCATTATCCAAGTCAATTTATAAGAAAAACTTAACCAATAATTTTTCATCGCAACAAGTAAGATATTTTTATGATAATTTTTACTATAATTACTATAATATTATTAACATTTAAGTTTGGTTGAAATGACTGATAAGTGCAGTGATAAGCTTTACGCTATCAATTTCTTTAATCTAATCTTAAACTGTTTGTTAATCAACCCTATTATTTCAATATTAAAACGTATTCAGTATTATGGCAACGACAATTAAATTCACATACAGTTTATTATATACTATTAATAATAATATTACACTGCCATATCGAAAGTCCGATATCGAGAGTAGATTTGTTCTGCGGAGACGCTCGTCACGAATGATAATCGAAATTTGTCCCAAATTCAACGGTTTCATTAGTTTTAAACATCTAATGAAACAAAACATATAATACTTTATTAATTACTTGAAAATAAATTATTTACATCTAGTTGGTATTAATGTTTACGTGTCATCGTTCCGAATTAGTAATTTATTGTTTCCGACGAGCGCTATAAATTGGGAAATAGTATATTATATTATATATATCGATTCCGTTAAAATTAATGAAAATGTTGTACTCCGCTGAATTTCCAGTGACTATATAAACCACTCATATGGAATAAAAACGTCAGATTTTGATTTTCAAACTATCGACATCACGTACGACGTTGGTACGTATATATCAGAGTCGCATACTTCTCATTTTGTATTTGTAAAAATTGCAATCACGGTAATTAAACTGTAAGCAAAACGTGAAGTTTACTTTTACGAAAAAAGAAAGTAAAGTAGTATTGAGTTTTTATTTATTTTTTTTTTTTTGTTTATAAAGACGATCGGTGTAAATAGAAGAAAAAAATCGTTCATGGGAACGTCGAGTTCCTGGGACTACGTACATAGGAGTATAGTAATGTAATTGATAATGGTAAAATATAATAATAATATTATATTGTTTAGAATATACTATAAATTACACGCGACACAGTGATTGAAAAATAAAAACGTTTCACGTTGAAATGTTGATTATATTCATGTGCGATCGAATCGACAGTTAAATGTTTTTTTTTCACTTTAGTACGTGCTTGCAGCACTTCGAAGTACAACAATCAATGATGAACAACAATAAAACGTCGACGTGATGGTTTCATTATTTTTCATCTTCTTGAGAAAAACTCAGTCAAATTAAAAATAAACATTAGAATGTTATTATGTTGCTGGTTTAAGAATACAAAATTGTATTCACGCGGTACAACTAAATAATATAATATAATGTGCACGATGTACGTTATTATTATTGTTTTCTAAGCGAAATGGTCGATTATTGCTTTATTATTTATGTACGTATTACTATAATATAACAAGCTAAACATTGTTAAGATAATATACGTATTAAACGTGTCATCGTCGATGTATCAATAAAATAAATGGATTCGGACTGCGGACGTGACAGTGATAGTTTATAACTCTCGGTTCTATATGTATATATAATGAAAAAAAAATGTTTATAGCGTAAACCAAGCAAATCAGTACGAACATCTAAAATAACCTACCAACAAAAAATGTTTTTCCTTTCCAGAAATAAAGTACAAAGTGCTTCATTTGAGTATGAAATAAAATAATAATATTACTTATCTGTTGTATACATGTATGACAGGGATCGCAAACGTTTTGATATTATCACTGATATAACTTTTATTATTATGTCATTTCTTAGGCGATGGACTTAATATTTAGAGTTGGTTTTTTAGTTTTTATTTTATAGAGGGAGAGGGCAGATTTTACTTTCTGAAAATGATTTCCGTTTTCCGGACTGATTTGTCTGGTTTACGTTATATATTTTTTCAATTATAGGCTACAGCTGTGTGTAAGAGAGTTATTAACCAAGTTATCGCACCATCATGTCCGCTCGCTAATCACGTACCTACCTGTATATACTTATACTTTGTCATATATATTTTTTTCATTTTTACGAAACGATCCTCACGAAAAATAAACGCGACAAAAAAAACGAAAAACAATTGCCGCTCACACATTTAGTACCGTCCTGAAGTAATATTGTATAGTCGCAGGACGACTGACGAGGCATACGACTATTAAGTACTATATTGTTGTACACCGAGGCACCATCCATCGGACATGTCGAATGGTGTACCATATACGCGGTATGTTATTATGGTTGTCTGCGTCGCGCCCTGAATACGTCTCGTAAGAACCGTATTTTTGATCCAGCGGACCAAAGAATTTAGTCGAACGAATACGCCGTCGCCGCCCGCCCACCCAACCGGTCGGAAATTATCCGTCTTGTACGCGTCTCGTCGGGTGTAACGTGCGTATAATATACTACACGCGCAGACGTTACTCGACAGTTTACGAAAAACGTAAAAAAAAAAAGAAAAAAAAGCCATAACGAGAACGTCGTCCTCCACGTTCCGCGACCTATCAAGGCACAAAAATCGAAAAAAAAAAAAAAACGACAAAGATATCGAACGTAAACAAACGGGAAAAGACGTGGCTCGTATAGTATAGAAATAATAATATATAGTTCTGGGTATCATTTATGTGTTGCTCAATGTACTCTCACGAAACGCGCGTATTGCCCGCGGAAGTATACATTTGTATACACACACACACACATTTATATATTTATATAATGTTATAACGTTATAACGATGATCGCGACGATTTTACATTTCGTTATAACATTATCATATCATATTGTTTAGGGATGATCGAGCCGTTTTTCGTAGCAACAGTTATGCGTGTACCGGCGTGTGTAATATAAACATCGTCCATAATATAATAATAATATTATAATATAGAACGCCGAGAAAAACAGAAAAACACAAAAATATCACTAATCACGATTCGGACGGACAATCGATGCGGTCACACATACCTACGTATAACATAACTGTCATAATTTTATCTCCACAACGTTAAATTATATATATATATATTAAATGTGCCTAAGCTTGGACCCATTACCGTGTTATAACGATTTCCTATGTAAACCGGTCGGCTGTAGCAATGTGTAATGTCGCTATCGTTATCACACGTCCATGTTTACACGAGTAGGTACCTTTAGTGCGCAATACATAATATTATTATTACGTATATGCGCGCTGTGCCCGGAAAAACCGTTTGCTCCTCCGGAACTCTGACGACGGATTCTGTTCGTCGTGCAGCTGAACCTCGTACGCACGCGGGCGAACGGGTTATTTTTTTCCGCCGTAAAGCATATTATACGATATTATCATTATCGTTAAACATTATGCACCGCACGGTGATTCGCCCGTCGGATGTCGCGTCCCGTTACGTTATATTTACGCCGTCGAGTATAAATCGTCATCAATGGTTATAATACCCATTTCCGTTTACGAGTGCGCGTTTCGCGTGGGCTGCAGCTCGCGAGCAGACACAGAAACACGCACACGCGGACCATAATGTACGCGCGAGTGTGAGTTCAGTGCGATACGTATCGCGCCGCCCGACGACGTTTTCCGACCGATCGACAGAGAGATACGCGTGTATAATATAGTATAGTGTTGTTACTGTCGTCATTGTTACTCGGTAAGTATACCGCCGACCGGGGCATAAAGGCGGAAGAGTTTCCTTTTGATTTCGTCGGTACGCCGCCGCCTCCGCCGTTCGCAAACAGGACACGATTTTATTATTTTAATTTTTGTCGTTTTTTTTTTTTTTTCCCCCTCCCGTAATAACAACGATTTTTATTAGTCCGCACTCGGAGACCGACGTTCTCTATGGGAAATGTCTTGTGACATTTCCAGCTATCATCGTCCGCTCCGCGGCACGAACGTGTTCCAAATCGTAGATTTTCGTAAACCGTCGGCGCGATGCTTCTGTATGTATCACAATTCACAGTGACCCGTAATCGAAAGCGTTTTCTTCTGCGTCAAACGAAATTTAATAGTATAAAACAATAACTATCAATGCGCGAGATAAATACACAGAATTCCGTGACATTATTTTGTGTCCGATGAATCCCGGTCAAATGTTGTACAATAAATATATAATATTGTACAGACCGAATAAGGTACGCGTACGTTTAAATTTTAAATTATTGTCGAGCGTGCGTGGTTTTGATTGTTCTGTGGTAGGTATTATGATCAATAACGTTTATTCAATTAAAACTACAATTGCGATTTTCTTGCCCCCGAAGAGTACACATAATAATACTTTCTTCGTTTATGAAATGTAATGAACCACATCGTAAAAACCTAAATCGATTTAATATTATTTAGTTATATTATTTTTTCCATTTAATGGACGGTTTATTTATCAAAGAGTACACATCGTTTAAATCTCTAGCTTAAAAAATAAATAAATCTTTCGTCTTTCACGCCATCGACACCAAACCGACTATAATAGATATAATTTGCATGCCGTCATCGGAGTATTGTTGTAATGCACATAAGTATATATAGGTACTCTCGATTTTTCTGTTTTTCGGGATTTCATTAACTCGTATTTAGACGGTATAGAAATATAATTAAAGAGCGAATTTGGTCGGAGAAATTTTCACGTTAATCAATCAGGTGTGATGCCTGAAGACTACGACATTACGGTCAAGTTTAACGGTGTGATATGGTTATTACATACGTACTATTGTATATTATGTATATACGTATTTCTGTGCTCGCAGTAAAAGTGGATCAATCATCTACTATGAATGATTTGTGTTAAGATTCGCGCTTAATACACAACAATATAATATTGTTTTATAACATGAAGGTATAAAATGGCTTACGAGGTTTCCAATAAACATGATATTCGTCGATTTTCTATATTAATACATTATACATTATTATTGGTAATTCGATTAATATTACAGTATTTAATTATTTTTTTTTTAATTGATTTTTCAGACACACGAAGTTTCTACTCAAGATTACGATGGTAAGTGAATATAATTTATATAATTGATAACAATCACGTTTCGTTCGTTTAATTGTGTTAATGGCATGTATAGAATATTATTATTTATTTCGTTTTCTGTTAAATCGTCATTAGAATTTTACCAAATTACCTACAAAATATCTATAGCGCACTTGTGCTCAATACCATCCGCTAAATTACAAAATCAAAATTATGTTGTGGAACTGAAAATAGTTTCGCGTAGTAGTTTGATCCAACGTCCTAATTTCTTTTTCATTTAATAAAGTATAATATGTATATAATATATATATATATATATATATGTATTATATTATTGTATGACATATATTTATTTTTTACGACGTGTTCAACGTATTATCATCGTCGGCCCAGCGAAAACGTTTCACACTAAATACACTTTTAATCTGGACATTTGAATCAGACGAGTGTGGAAAACGCTGAGGCGTCGACGTCGATCTAGATTTAACGGCACCCAATTATTGGCGGTAGAAGTGTTAAAGCATTTAATTTGTCTCGTTAAAGATCTTTCTCTATGACAATACTGTGCATATTGTGTATTGTTTGCGCGTATATGTTTCAATAAGCCAACACGCAAAATAATAATATTTTTTTTATCGCATGACGGAATGAAATAAAGTAATTATTTGACGTCGGTCGAGTGATGTGATAAATCGTTTAATACTCGTATTATATTGAGTATTTATTAAATGTTAGGTACGTAAATACACGTTCAGCACGTTAGAGATAAACGTAAACCAATGTCGATTTGTTTACCAGATGACGAATACACCTGAAACGTATAATTAATAATCTCATAGAGATATTTCTCAAATCAAAGTAGTTTTTTCGAGATATTTTCGAACTTTCTGGAAGAATACCAGCTGTAGATCTCGTTATTAATAAAATATAATATTAAATTGTTTTGATTTTGTCGTTTATTCAGTGTCTGAGATACAGTGTTCGTTTTCGACGGACTCGCTGAGGGTGGGCAAAGCACTTTTGGGAGTCAAAGACGTGATATCCGCCCGGCTAAAGAAACCCGAAGGGTTCAAGGGGCACCCGCTGTTTGCCGATGATCGGTCTGTCGATCCATTGATCGATCCAGTTTGTCAGATACGACCCGATTTATCGGACGTGTCACTGCTGACCTACAACCTGTTAGTCACTGATTTCACGCGGTGTGGCGTGCTCAGGCGAAATGTAAGTTACAAATTTTTGTTTATTTTTAAATTATTATATAAACATTAAATATAATTATAAATAATATTATTTTACCTCCGTCCACCGTCATCAATAGCGTACAAGCTTTATCGTCACGTTTTCCTGTTTTTCTATAAGGTTTAAACAACAGAAGCTCATATCGTGTATATTATGATTTTTCGTCTGTGATAAATGAAGTTTTTGGGGATTCCTTATAATTATTTTAATATTATATTATGATCTCTACTGGATGTGTGAATCTAATTTGTCAGATGGAAATAATATTATCATTAAGGCGCCTAGCTGAAGAATTTTAGTGTTAAAAACTACAAAAAATAAACACACTTACTCGAAAAATTATTATCAATTATTTATAAATTATTGAACAATTAAAGTTAGGATAAAAATATGGAAAATTTGTTCAATTATATAAAATATAAGGTTGTACATTTTGATGGTATAAGAAATTTAACATAATAAATAAAATTAAGAAATGTAATGTATACTCTTGTAAAAGAAAATTGGGTGATTCTTTTGTCAAATCACTAAATATTTCAAAAGTTGTTTAAATTTATTAATTTTACATAATTAACATAAATATACTTAAATATTATTTATAAATTACATTTTTTAGAGTACTTTAGTTTTTAATGCATAAAATTCAAGTTATAATTTGTAAGTACGTTATGTTTTGATGAGTGGAATAGAATTTCACAAGGATAATTCAAAATATCTTGGTTTACAAAATACTTATCAGCTAATCTAAATTTTAACTAATTATAGCTAATTAACTACTTGTTCGAGTTGTAATTTATTGATTTAAAAATCCAAATAATATTTTAATAAAAAATTAAAAAGAATAAAACAATTGTAAAACTATAAATTTATTTTAAAACAGTTAATTTGTAACGATTTAAAATTATTTAAGAATAATATTTCCAAAATAGTTTATAGTTTTTGAAATAATGAATGTCTTACGACGGATAAATTATCAGGTAGTATATAATAATATACTATGTATTTATAAAATATATCTAAGTAGTTATTTTATTTTCATCACATTTGTGAAATATTCAGCCCTTTTAGAATAATAAATGCACTAATTAATATTATCTGGAACTCGAACTCGATTGTATTTTTTTCGCAAATGACGTCTTTTTAATATTTTGATTATCATACGCATGTTTTTAGGGTTTCGTGCACGTTCGAGTGTGGTTTCCGCAGTTCCCCGGCGTCGTTATGATGTCTGACCAAGAGCTGATCATTATGTGCAAACCACCAGAACCGACTGTGATCGAAAACAAAGCTGCAGGTTTCGCCGGAAGTTTGTAAGTCTACACAATGCTATATATAATATTAAATTATTATAATTTATACGTAAGTCTTGTTCGCGCGTGCGGCAAGAGACCGTTTCGCTGCGATGCGATTAATCGCAGAAAATGACAGCATCCTCATAATAGTGATATGTGGTTTCGCAAATTTTTTTCTAATAAATATCTCACACGCGTCAATCCATCACATTTTATGAAATTATAATATATTATTATTTTCACGAGGTGTGTTTGACGACTTTATCTAATTGTTTGGATGTAAAAAAAAAAGTAAACGAATTTCGTTACAATATACGGTCTAAATAGGCGTGTAAAACGCGTTTGCGTATATTATAATATGGGAGAAAAAACGATAATCGAAAACTTAATTTTGAAACAGACTGTCGTAGAATATTGGACGAGCGTACCAAAAATAAATTAAACAGATTCGGTTGTACAGGTATGCCATTAGTGCTTTTACGCCGCTACTGGTCTATATATATATTATATATGTATATGTATACCAATACGATCATATTCGATCTAAATTGTAATATTATAAAATCTTTTATAACGCCGTGTGTGCACGTACACGTCAATATAATGAAGATGCTTGCACTAGGCGTGGAATTTCAGTATTTTAATTATTGATGCCAAAGTGTTAAAAGGTAATTTTAAAATCATTATACTGGAACACAGTATAATTAACTTAAAAGTTATAACCATCTAGTTTTAGTCGATATATAGTTATTATTTATAGTACATGTTATAATATATCTGTACTCTGTAGAGTCTGTAGAGTATAGAATAGAAATACAATTTGTAACTAAGAATACTTTTATTTTTATTTTTTATACATATTTATGAAAACACAAATTGTTTTCATCACATTTTTATCACTGTGATTTAATGGTCACGAACTTTATTTCGTGATCTTTAGTTATATTATTACAACAAATTAAAATTTATATTGTCCTCTATACATTTATAATATAACACCTGTATTATCCAACGTTACCTGGGGATAGATAAAACTGAGATGGTCAATCCATCTGCGGTGGGTAGTAGTAAATAATAGATAGTAGATTATAGATAATAGATAGTAATAAGTAAAGGTTTGGACTTTTAGAAGTTAGTATATTTTTCAATAATCATTTAAAACATGTCTAAATATTATAGAAATGTGTTTCATAGTACTAGAAGACAGAAGTTTAAAGCAATCATTTTTATTTTGATTATTTTGCATGTTCAGCTTTTTTTTCCTGTAAGTACATATTGTTTTATATTTGAATTTTAAATACAAACTTCACAAATTTTATTAAAAAAAAAAAAAACTTAAAACAATATGTAACATAAATAATTATAACTTTATATACTACCTACACGATGATTTGTTTTTTATACCTATAGGTGATAACTTTTATTCATGGATTTTGTTCTAATAATTTTTTGACTGGTTTATGATCGGTGGTATCCCAATTAATTTGCTTATATAATTTGAGGACGATTAGCTAGCAACTGTGGGGTATGTGCATCAATTTGATTTAAGTATTTGACTACTAATATTTGTGATAGTCAATTATATATTATATTTTTATCATTTTCGTTTAGCTTCAAATTCAATTTTCGTGAGTAAAAAAAAATTCATATGTGAACCATCAAATATAACCTGAAAAACGGAGTTATAGGCCATTTTTGAATATTAAAGAAAATGGTCTAGTAGTTTATAGTGAACAGAGTAAAAAACATTAATTTTTTTATGTACATATAAACTGACTTCTATTATCAATTTTTTCTTGGTAATGAGTTAATGGTTGGATTCACAAGAGAAAAAAAATATTTGAAAAGTAAAAAAAACAAATACATACTGTAAAGTTCGAAGTAATTATTTAAAATTAGATTTAAATCACATATTGGAAGCCTCAATTTTATTTTTGGTGTTTAAAGAAGGGTTTTTATAAAAAAAAAAAAAGTAAATATGTTGAAATACATTTAACACATCTTCTCAAATAATACGTTATTGTGCATGCTGCAGATATTAATCTTTTCATAAAATATATTACTGATCGCGACCATACCAAAAAATTAAGTTTTGGTTTTGTTTTATCGAATTAAGGAAATCTGCAGTACTTAGTATAGTTATTTGTAACATAATTAGAAAATCTGATGTTTTCATAGATTTTAGCTTAAAATAGATACTTGCGTATAATAACATACAAGGTGATTCACCAACTCACCCCAATTTTTTTCCTTTAATTCTAAATTTATTTTAATTCATTTTTTTTTTTTTTTTAATTTTCAAGTATATTTGACCATATTTTTAGTAATTTATTTATTTATTTATTTTTATACAATTTGAGAAGTGTTATGTAGCGATACAAAGTTCTTTTTCTTGATAGATCAATAATGCTAGTTTTTAATTATTACTACTTTCTAATCACTGAAGACCCCATATATTTCAAACCTATTACTATAGACGTATCATTTTAAAGTTGAAGTTCGATTTATGTACATGAAAGTTTTCAAAAAAAAAAAAAAAACATCTGCATAAAAATTCATAGGAAAAAAGAGAATTCGGTATCATCACAGGACATTTCTTAAATGATAAATAAAATCTAAATAATTGAAAATGCGGTTATTATTAGTAATGAATGAACTTGTAGATTTCATAAATCAATAATCGAATATAAATTTATTACCAAAAAAAAAAAAAAAAAAAACAAGGGGGGGCCGGGGAATCAACGACGTTTAAGAATCTCCCCGTGGCCTATAGATACAGATATTTTCACCTATGACAACATAATGTCATATCACTTTAATAGAGATGTAACATAAAAGAGGAGCGACGGAAATAGGTAGTCGTTCGAAACGAAAAATATGGAAAAAAAAAGTGTAGTTACGGCTTTCCGTAACGGTATTGTCGAACGGTCGGTCTCGTTGCAGTGTGTAAAACGGGCGCTGTGTCTATATTGTTATACACGATGCGATACGTGTATTATACTTATGAGTTTTCCGTATAGGAATATATGTATCTGTGCGCTGACCGATATCAATAGTTCGGTTATTGTGTCTCGGTTGTTACGTTTTTCTTTTGTTATTATTATTGTTATTATTTAATAATAATAATAATAATAATAATAATATTAGTACTGTTACCCGTGCCGTATGTAGAGTAAGTCTGTCGGTATGTTCTATACTTTATGGTCGGTACACACCGTCACGGTGATAGTATGTGTATATTTGTTTGTAAATATATAAATATAAATTTATATATATGTGTGTGTGTGTGTGTGTGTGTACAACAACTACCTATAACGATATACCTACTCACGACGATGACGGCAATGATAATAATAATAATAACGATATACTTACAATGATGACGACAATGATAATAATAATAACGACGACAAGATTGTGCCGATGACTGTAAGTATATTAAATGTCTATATAACAACATGTATACGACGACCGTCGCTATAACCATTAATCAAATTAAATTTCGATGCTCGGTGACCATAGCTGCTATTTCGAGTTGTGGATCAAGATTGATGTGTCGGTAGCGTAGATTTATTATTTTACAGACCAGATTATCTCGACTATATGATGATAATGTGATATTGTACAAAATAAGTTTAGACGCGACAACGGTGATGACTTAAGCCGTTATAATTTGTCGGCCGATTTGATGTTTACGTACCATCGAAATGGTATGGCATATAATTATAATTTTTTTGATGTTGGACATTAGGTAAAATGGTATTTTAATCGATGACGTGTGATAAATGAACGCACAGTCTTCGAAGCCAATCGAGATATTCGATCGTATTCGCGATAACCGTTCATTCGTAATCGATATTTAGATATCGTGCAGTGTTCGTAGTTTTTTTTCATGTGGTTTAAACTATAATTATTCTATTCTATTTATTTGAAATTCATGCATTCAATACGAATGTACTATTTTAAAATGTTTTGAAAAAATTCTCAATGCATTAAAAAAGTAAACTATTGGATATTGCAACATTAATTATAATCGCTATTCAGTTTAAGTATTCAATACGACTCTTTTATCTGTAATCTATGATACTTGCGATAATAGTCACGTAAGTTTGACATAAAATAAAAATTGAGTTTACGTTAAAATCCATTAATCTTGTTTAGCTTTTATTGTTTTAACACTTGCATAACATCTAAGAGCTGAACTTCCAAAGACGCAACTATAAAATCTGTAGTTAAAAAGAATTTCTTATCCTTCAATATACTCTATGTCCCGCAAAAATAATCGCTTTTTTCTTTAAAAAACTATCATACATGATAGATGTAAATGTAATAAATTCATTCTTGTGTAAATGAAAAAAAAAATGATTCCATACCCATATTGAAGGAAATGCACAGTCATACGTGTAATCTCAAAAACTTACGCGTTTGCATTAAAAGTTCACCACCCAATATTTTTTTCAGAAACCTTCACAAAAAATGCGATGTTTAGTAAAATGTTTGTTTTCGTACAATGGGGCATAATTATGAAAATTGCACATTGCGTGAAATATAAACCTGTATAATATAATATACACTCAAATAATATCATGTTTTTTTTTTTTTTTTTAATTGAACTTAAGTCCGACAACTAGGCCCATTAGCTGTTTGTAGGGGTTATGAACTATGGTAAGGGGTAAGGTTGGTACGGTAGGTTGTATTTTATGATTGTTACGGTTGATAGCAAACGCGTGTATGTGTGGCAAGGTTTTTAACCACTATGATCCCGAGTGGTCACCCATCCGGGAGCTAGTAGCTGTGGTCGTTACTTACTCTCAGTCGCATTCCGCGACTGGTAGCAGCCAACGCACTACGCCAAGCCACAATATTATGTTTTATTCGAAAAGAAGAATAAATGTCGATTCATAAATAGTAGAATACTCGTTGCGCAAACCACAATTATTATTGACGTTTTCCTAGCATTATTATTAGAGTCGACTTTATAGAATCGGTGACATTTTTTTTTAATTGTATTTATCCACGTAATGCAGTGTATTTTATAGTACGTCTATTATATTTATAATGTATATATATATACATTGAATACAACAATAAATTATATTATTAAATTCAATTAATTTATATGTGGGTGCATACAACCCCACCTATTGATATTACAATACAGACCGAGAATTGTTTTATGTTTTTCTGCGATAGATCTACATAGACATAGAACAAGACGTGGAAAGTAAACGATCATTATTTGTATTATTATCATTATTATTCACATGTCCTATATAATATGCGATACACGTGTGTTGTACACGCGTGTGCGTATTTAAAGAAGAAGATATTTAAATAAACAATATAGCCGAGACGAACGTGATCGCGAAAAAAAACCTAAATTCACATTTTCACGGTACTGCGTTCACTTCCTCCTCCGTGGACATCTCTTTTGCGCCCGCTCGTTTCGCCTACTGACCCAATTGCCACACACCTATGAAAGATGACATACTAAACGCGACGATACGAAATATTATGTACACTACGATGTGTGTGTGTGTGTGAAGTTTTTTCTATTATTTGATTGCCGATTGGCTTCACTGGTGTTATAAACGTTTTGACGTACACAACATCCCATGCGGTACCATCAAATACCTACGTGACAACGTCAATTTGATATGATTTATCAAAGATATAATATTATATCGTTGAGAGCTATAACAAACCTAAATAGATAATAACGAATATTTTAGAGTGCACGAATCATTGTGTTAGCAGAAATAAAACAAATCACTTTAATAATTATGATAGGTATAAGGTATGTAAATTTCATTAGCGTTGTAGGTTAAAAATGGTGTTAAGTAGGTATTTGTTGAAATTTAATCATTTTAGTAATTATTCACATATTATATATTGTTTACCGTATTTCAATAATCGAAAAAAAATTATATGCAAACCATTTTTTTAAAGCAATTTTAGTTGAATACATAATATTATAATGGGCATTAAACAAATTAAAAAAAAAAAAAAAAAAACAATAGGTTCTCAAATAGTGTAGAGGAAGAAGATTAACTTAAAAATATTTCAAAGCATTAAACTCGTATAATAGTATTGGTGGTGAAAAATAGTATCAAGTGTATGTGGCTATGATGGTTATAATAGTAAATTGTCAGTCATTAACGTGAACAAATAAAACGCGGCCAATTATTTCCAACTGAACCAACCATGTATATAAAATAAATGTTAAAATTGCAAGATTTAACGGCTCGTTTGGTTTTCCTACAGCCCACATGGTGCACGAGTGTCTGGAGTTGTTGAAGAGACGCCTGGAAGACTCGAATACGAAGTGGCGTTATACAAGGAAGCGCCAGCACGATTGACGAACTTGAGCCACAACAGCGAACTTCCAGTCGACCAGGCCGTGCCCATTGGTACCAAACTTCAACTCCGGGCCAGAATCAACCCGCATTCAGGTATATATAATATATATATGTATGTGTGTATGTGTGTGTGTATAATATCAATATGTATACATTGTATAGAGTGATTGACAATAAATGCTCGGAAAATTTAAAGCGGATATAATTCTAATATTCTGCGATAATTTAAATAATATTAGACGATATAGTTTTGTGTAAATTTGATTATTGTCAATGAACGTATAGGTATAAAGTGATTTTTAAATTTAATTTTTTCTCTCGATGTTTATACTTTCAGCTTTAATTAAAAATACATACATGACCTAGTAATATGCGACCACAGTGTTAAATCTTTCGGTTTATGCCGGAAAAGTCTTAATCTCACAAGACGATATGCCTGTGCCTTTAAGACGTGTACAACGCGTGTTCAGTTTATAGATGACTTAGTATGATATTGTTTTATGAGTTATTAAGTAATTAGTTAAGAAAAAAAATGATTCCCATGCGTATTGTCGATAACTGAGATCTTCTAGAAGGTTAAAGACCAAATTATTATTATTATTATTTTATAATTCGATAGAGCTACCTCAGCTACCTAATATGATCATTAATTACATATAATTTATAAAAATCATTAAGTGTGAAATCGATCGCTTTACGTCTTATGTACCTATAATGCATCTATATAGTGACTTAGTTTACATGCCATATGAGATTTTAGAAGTATTTCAGTATTTCAGACAAGTATCTGAAATACACTGTAGAATTTGTTTTCTGATATAGCAATCAACTAAATCCGTATTAGTGGCTAAATTGTCTGTCGTGTTGATCAAAAATTGAGATTGGCTCAACTATGGAAATCTACTGGTAGGTTAGTAAATTAAATCATGATTATAACAGTCACTCAGAGTGCATAGTATAGACACGTGAAACAGCAAACGGTGTAGCTGTGTATTAGATTTTTGTGCATCTTACTTACTGTTGCTACCATAATAATATAATATACGTACATAATGCATACATATACATCTATTAAAAGTATTATAATTTAAACCTTATGTTCATCACGTTAATTCTGTCTATTATTTCCTCACCGCGTAATATTAATAATGCTATTCGTCGTGTTGAAAAATCGTTAATATAACAGCCGTGATGTATTACTTACCAAGCACACCTAAATTTCGTGAATTAACCTGAAAAACAATAGTCGTTACCAATTTATCTACCATCAACAATTTTTGTACGACGTTTTGACGATGAAATCGTATCAAATGACGACCTAACAGCTAGTTCAAAGATTTAAATTAATATGTTACCATCACGGTCGTGAATGCTTCAAGAAATTACACATAAAAAAAAATAAAAGAAAAAGAAAACGTTGAACGATTATCCGTCAAATTAGCATATTAATATTATTAATTAGATGATACGGCGGATATAAACGCCGATCGAGAGTAACTTTTCCCGGTCAAATTCATTATATTATTGTGTAGAAAGTAAACGCGTTGTGTACTTAATTTGGTTAAAAACTACTTCCAATGAGTAAAATAATAATAGTAACAATACAATTACTTTAATTTTTTATCTCTTGACAACTTATTAGAAAAAATAGCATGTAGGTATTTACCTACACGACTTAAGAAGGAGATCACTCTCATTCTTATATGCTCTTTTATACATCATAGTTCCTAATATTATACAACACATATATACATACTGAATACTTAATTATTTTAATGATAAAAAATGTTTTATTTCTTAAAAGTTTTAATTTTTATTTTCATTATTCAAAATAACATTATTGTCCATACATTTTTCATCAAATATCTTCTCAAATATTTTTTATCGGAAAAATGTGTTGGACTAAACTACAATAAATTGTAATTAAAATTACTTATTTATAGTATTTTACATTTTTCTACTAAAATGTTTAGAAAAGAACTTCTTTTTAAAATTCATTAATGAGTATTGAAGCAAAAACAATGAGACTGGTATAAATATTTTATAAAATTGTATTTTATTATCAAACATTTCATAAAAATAAAAATAAATATTCATTATAAGTCAACGCATTTAGATATAATAATAATTGTTTATAAAAAAAATTTAATCTGTTTCATAATACATGAAAGGTCACCTGCAGTTATTATTGCACTGCAATTCAATTCTTTATTGTGTTATTTTAATAATAATTTGTTTGCCATTTAGCTTGGAAATTCGTCAAGTTGATGGAAGTGTCCGTGTCTCCTGATCCGGACAACGCACACGTATCTGGTAGTGTTGCTTTGGTAAAAGATGGGTAAGTGCAAATTACAAGATTTTATATCTAATCTATACGTATATGTAAAAAACACATAATATATCATACAAAAAAAATTTCATGTATCCACAAACAGTCAATTGACTGATAAGTGTTTACTAAAATGTCGGTGATTATTAATTAGTGAACACTGAAAATAAGATAATTTTATGAATCGATGAATTTATAAAATATGTACAATAAAATAATATTAATTATTATTATTACATATATAAGTGACAAAAAAAAAAAAAACTAAAAATAATTGCAGATGAATGGTTGATTAGATGAAAAACACAGTATTGTAGAACAAACTAAAAAATAAATGAAAACAAATAATGTGAAATACTTGATGAATGATAGCCGAGTAATAATAATTAATAAATAATATGATATTTTTACACGATAAAAAATGAAAATGAAATAACTGTATATGAGCGTGAAGGACTATAAACTAATTTTAATTATTATTCCAGAAAATTTTAATACATAAAAATGTATAAAAATATATGAAGCTTCGTATAATGAATACACATTGAAAAATCAATTGCTAGCTTATTTTGATGTATTTTTTTGGTAATTCATAGAAATATGAAAATATTATTTTATCTGTTAATCAAACATAATAATACATAATGATATTAATTATAAAATTCAATTTTATTTTATAAATTAAAAATAAATAATCCCTTGCTAACCTTAACTTTCAATACATTAGATACTGTCATTTATTTCATTTTTAATTAACATTGTTTTTTTTTTTTTTTTTTTTTATAATTTTTATTTTATATTTTCATATAAATTATATTTACTGAAATGTAAAAAAATTAATATTTTTCATGTATAATAGAGAGATATAACATAAAAAAATCAAATTGATAAAAAAAAGTATACATTTTCACGTCAATTCAACATCGATGTGGGTTTATTGTTAGGTATTTTTGAATTCGCATATTTATCATTTTTGTAATATAAAACCATAACATATTATTTATAATACATTAATTTTTTTTGTATATTTACATATTACATATTGTGTGGAACATGTGAAATGCCTCGTTCTTTTTTAATTTATTGAATACATTTAACAGTAGAATTACGATTTTTACAGTAAATTTAAATTCAAAATTACTGTTTATTTAAGTATCTACGTATTTTACACATATTATCAAAGTCAAATAAATATTTTATTATAAATATATTTTTTAATTTAAAGAATATTTTATTGATTCTATAACTAATAAGTATACGTTTATTTGAATAGAATGCACATTTATTATTTATTATACTTAGTTATGCCTTTAATTTTCCGTATCACGTCGGCATCAATGCAACTTTAAGCCTCTTCTTCATCACTGATCACAATCTTCATCGAAAGTATATTATTTGATTTTAATTCATAATAATGTCATAGTATAATACGTTTCACGCATACCAGCAGCGGTATACATTTTAAACTCGTGAAATAACAATGAAGGTAATTTACGAGATTTTTACTAAAATTTTAATAACTAGAACACGCTGTGTATTGCATATAATAATATTAATATTGAGATTATATTCTATGGGTTAAACTGTCTACCGAACACAGATTATTAATTCGGTGCGGTGGACAATCGTTGTCAGTGGTTTTTAACATCAATGAAAAAAAAAAAAAATGAATTAAGGTGAAATAATTATAACAAAACATATAAATACATTTCGGAGGAAGTTTTATAAATTACGACTTACAATTCTAGACCGATGGCGCCACTTTTTCATCGGGGTTAAGGCTCGCCGTAATACAATTAATATACAATAACAGAGTTGCCGCTATCTATGATGGGAGGGTGCGTAGAGAGGAGGCAAGATAAACGAATAGAAAGATAAATTACTATACACAGTTATATATTATAAAATATATTATAAACGAAATACATGGTATTTTCTATAAAATAAAAGGCGTTTCTTGTATAGTGATAGAAACTTATTTTTTTTTTGTTTTAATAAGATTTATCATTTTTTAAAGTTCATATTAAAGCAAATAATTTGTGTATTTATTTAATTTTCAATATTTTAAAATTTACCTATAAAAAATTAATTAATTTCCATAAAAAAAAATATATATATATATATATATATACAATCTAAACTACTTCTCAAAATCTAAATATTATAAAGTATTTAAGTATTTAAAATTATAGTCCATAGGAAAACTTAAAAAATCAGAGCTTGAATAAAATGCATTATTAAATAAAAAAAAAAAAAAAAAAGAAGCGAGGTGATTGAGACTACTTAAAGTGAGAGGTTCATAGTATACAATTATTGATTTTCAAACGAAGTTTCCAATGTTACGTCGATAAACCACTCACAATGAATCGGGACGAAATATTATAATACTTTTATGACGTGTACACATTATTAGACGCACTTATAACAACATAAAATTGTCCGTGACCCAGTGATAGATGCATCAGTGCGGAACCTATGTACCTATAAACCTACCTATACCTATAAGACCGATGGCAAATATGGTGTACGATGTTGATGTGATGACATTATTGTTTATTATAACCGTGAATAATTCTGGTGTTTATGTTTTATTATTTTTCCTACGTTTATAGATGCCGGAATCGAGATTTCGCGACAATCATCCCACACCAACCAGCTAAGTATCGGGAAAGGCACAACGAAGTTTTTTTGGACTTTGAAGCGTTCCTGTTGAGCACCATGAAAGAGCGATCGACATTATGGATACACTCGCAAATTAAAGCGTGTATGGATGCTAACGACTGTCAGCCGGTGAGACATCTAACCCGATCCGACTTGTCCCAAACTATCCTCGATTGACTATAGGGTTTAAATTTTTAGATTTAAATTGGTCCCCAATACCCGAAAATGTACATCATAATATTGCAGATTTCCGATATTTTATGTGACAGGGTTGAAATTTGTTTCTTATATTTTATGTTTAAAAATATTCAAATAGAGTCACACTAACCCAGTTATATGATATTTTTAGCTGTTTATGGTCTGAAAACACGAGTGAAAATCGCCAAGATTAGATTTTATATCAAAAAAAAAAAAAATAATATTTTTTCAAAATTTCTATTAATTTTATAATGGTTTTATATTTTCTTGATTTTTAATTAAATAACATTATACCTACATATAATATATGTAATTAATAATTTTTTTGTTTACACGTGAAAAATACAAATAATTATAATAATTATTATTTTGCGTTAGCTCTGCTAATAATATAATATTATCGTATTTCGAGTGTAATGCTTGTACATAATATTATTTAATGTTATACCATAAAACGAATTTAAACAGTATGTTGAATATAATTTACAGTCTTATTGGTTATTTATATAATGCAAGATTTAAAAGAAGCAAATTGCAAGACGATATACGTCGGGTAATAATTTATATTTTAAATGTATCGGTTAAAAGACATCAAAACACGATTCGCGATTCTATTGTTGATGTTAACAGGAATATTTTTTCACGTTACAGAAATACAATTATTATCAATTCATCGGAGTTATATGAGTTCTGCTATAATTCTCAAAGTTCGTTTGTATTTATATTAAACGCAGTGGTTCGTTATTGAATGTTTTTGTTAAAATTTTACTTTTTATGTTTTAAATTATTGTTGAATTACAATATTGTTTGGATGAAAATCTTAAATTTGAGTAAAACGAATCCATATCAATAATATTATGCTATATGGTTCGTTATGATAATAATTGCTATTGAGTGTTACCTTAAATATTTTTCCTTGTAGTTATATTTTTTGTGGATTTTATTCTATTGATTTTTATTTATATTTCCATGTTTTTTTATTTATTAATTATAATGTTTCTATAGAATAATGCAGAATAATATAAAATCAAAAAAGATTACTTCGTCTAAACCAGATTATAAACTGTTGTCATTAGCATGCATAAAAATAGTTAATTATTCAAATGAATTTTTTTAAATATTGATTAATTTTAATATTTTACACAGTATTGTTGATGAAACTATTTTCAACATCATATTTAAACGATTTGAGTTTTATTTAGTAAGTACGGTTTTCTATTTTTGTGTAAATTATCCACAGCATATATTTATACAATGTGATATAAATATGTAATATGATAATATTAACGTATTTTTTAACGACAGTTCTTTAAATAAGTTATACTAACATCACAGAGTATTATAGTGTCATATACTATCAAAGCCCCACAACTTTAAATGCTAATAAGATTTTATTTTTTCATGGATTTTAGAGGCTCAATTTTTTTTATGCAAAAAGCATAGGGCGTCTGAAAAAAGGTATACTCACAGCAACTATATAATAATTATATTATACCGTATATAATATTAAAGAATACGCATTATTATGTATTTTTTTTTCTGTTAGTCTAGCTGGATTTAAAATCTTTTGTGTTTCCGGGACTATGGTCACCACGAGATATAACACATTTATACCTATTAACTATAGTTGTGGTTTTCAGGAATATTGTCTGGACTTGTTCGAGCCTTCTGGACACGGACGCAGGCGCAGGAGGCACGTGCCGGGCGCTGGAAATGGGACTGCATTGCAGCAGCAGCAGACGTCAGCTGCCGATGACCGGAACATGACCAACTTCGCTAAGTTCAAGGAAAACATCGAGTATACAGTAATCATGCCCGAAGACATATACCATGGTGCAGCAACCGCGTCTGAAAACAGTTGTGGGACGTTCCTTGCCCTGTCCGGGGTCTTGGGTTGTCTCCTGTTTGTAGCCGCTATGATACTGTGTTACCTAACGTCCCGACTGCAGGCAGCCATCGGATCCAAGTATAGGACAGCACAACAGGACGCGTTCGGTAGTGGTCGGCTCCATACCGGAACCGGTCAACCATCAAAATTTCCAGTGTCCTACGCATCTGGCTCGTCGGTGTACTCAGGTCGGCTGCACTGATTTTTGCCGTCCGATCAGATTCGTTTATTATTTTAAATTTTTGTATATAATTTGTTTTTCCTCTCTATTACAACAGAACTTCTTATACATATTATAGACGCTTGATTCATAATTCAATTCATACACGATCGTTTTTAAATTTTAAATTTTAGATTTTTTTTTTAACTTCTACGTACAAAACATTTTTTATACTGGTAATTAAGTGATAACACGATATTACTGCAGAACGATTTTAACAGTGAATATTCGCATATTGTGCCAGTAAATACTTTTCTGAAAATAACGAATTAAAATTTTTTTATGACAGTGGTTTTTCATTCTTTTTTTTCTTATTTAAAATGTATAATTTAAAGTTTTTTTATGAAAATATCGAAAAATAGTTATATTTTACTAACAAAAGTTTAGAGGAGAGATGAGTGATGGACAGTGAGTTCGAATTTTATTTTCAAACATTGATTGAGGTAATGAGTGTTTGTTGTTGAAATTATTACTTTGTTTATAAATTATGTTTAATTTGCATATGTTTAAGCCATGGTTGAAACTCCATAAAATCATCGGTTGAGGGGTGCAGAAATGTACAGATACACGATCGGCTTTGCCAAAGGTTTTTTGACTGTTTGATATTCTAAATAAACCGTCTTTTCACCACTATGCTTTTGCAAAAATTCAAATACTATAATGAAATCAAATCGATAGAAGATATGAAAAAATGTTCTATATTATTATGTCGGTCCTTATAGGTTTGACAACATTTTTTTCAACTTTATTTCTCGACACCTTGGCATTATGTCAACCGTTGGTTTTATACTCTATACCTTCGTTAGATGTGTCATAACTGTACCTAACCTCATAAAAGTAACCACGACGAGTTGAATTGAATCATGATTTAAACGATACTATTGCGTTCATTTTGGTCAATTGACGCATAGTATGATAATATTATTATAATATGATATAGTACAGTGATGTTATTGCGGTCACTGTTTGGCATAATGTTAAGTTCTGGTCAACTAAGCTCGATATTATATAAAATATAATATAATTTAATTATTAAAAGAATTTTATTGTCCGATGATATATTATTAAATTATTTATGTTATCGTCTGGACGCATATCACCGCTCTTTTACTTATTATTTCATTTAAGTGCATTTTAACAATTATTTTTAAGGTATCTTATACAGACTAGTAAAATGTAATATTATTATTGATACGTGTTCATTTTAAAAATATGTATTTTTTTTCTAATATTATATACTTGGACGCGCAATATCAATAAATATTGTGTTATAAACTCTGTAGGCAATTTCATGAGCATTATTTTTCATATTATTAAGATGATAATATTATTATAATTCGATATATAAGTAGTATTATATAGCGTATATTTAAAACATTAATTTTGTATACATGTGTATTTAAAATATCACTATTAGAATAAATGAATATATTTAATTTTGATTTTCTGTGTTTTTGGAACGATTTGTACTGCACAAAACTATAAAATAATTTTTTAATTAAGTATTATTGTTTATGTGTGACGTACGTTACGCAGTTTGTATTCATACATTCACGTTTCATGATTTTACAGGCTTTTTCAGGGATTATTTTTTTGTCTTTATTTATTTCACGGTCTGATTCATTAATAATTTATTTCGTCCAACCATTGGTATACTGAATCCGACATCGCCAATTCATTGTGTTTAATATTAATATTTTATAATAAGAGCCCGACAACCGAATAGTCATGCGATTACGCGATCATCATATTAATATAGAACCGTTTGTTTGTAGATCGGTACACAGAAAAATTGACAAAACGATGTCCCAAACAAATAGTATATTATTATTTGAAATTTTGAGTCTTTTAAAATTGTTTCTTATAACTATGGCGTAAAAAATAATAAAAATAATTAAAAATATCGATTATAATTAAATATGTATTAAATTAGAGTAGGTGGGTATTAACTAATTACATTTGTCAGTTATTTTTGTTAAAATTCGTATATATTATCACGATGGGTTCATATTATAGTTATTTTTCTAAATTTATTTACGTAAAAATATTTTTACGTTCGGCCGATCTGGACGTTTAATATATTTTTTACCTACAAGTGAATGAAAATATGATTTAATGGCTCATGGTTGGTTTATTAAATTAATCAAAGTTTTGTGCAACCCAGCTTTAGTAGTAGTATGAAATATAAAAAACGTTTTCAATACTCTTTTTTGTTTAAAAATTTAAAAGTCCATTTAGATTATTTCAAAAATAAAATAATATCTGAACTGCTTTGAAGATAAATTCGAAATAATTTATCAATTTCTTGATGAAAAAGAAAGGATAGTAAAATATGACGTGTATAAAAACTAATAAATAAAACCGTGTAGATCTAATATCGTAATTTATTGTTAAATCATATATTATAATCATGTAATATAAACATATATAATATTAGGCGTGTGTTAAAAAATCAATATACAGCTCTTAACCAAAAACTTTATATTATTTTACTTGATTTTGTAGATTTTTTGAAAAGAATTTTACATTGGAATAAATGTATTAATAAAAATAAATAATAATTAGAACGTTTGGGTAAGTATTTTTTGGTAGTTAAATTATTATATTATATCGTATTTATGTATATATTAATAAAATAAAACAAATAACATAACATTTTTATATTATAGCTCCGCAATTATAATATTAAAATTGGTCGTCATACATTTTAGATTGATAAAAATTTACAGCATGTTTTATAATTATCAAAATACAACTTACAGTAGTATTGTATTTTTGTATATAATATTATTATTATTATTGTTAAATATATCGATAATATCATATTATTATGAAAATCAAAATATATGCGTATTATAATTTGTAATATAATAATAATAATAATAACATAATGAGAGAAAACAAATTTAACATTAATATTTTTGCAAGTATAGCCGATAGATAGTTATTTATTATATTATAAGATTATGATAAATAGTATATTAAAAATAATATTATGATGGTCTTGAAATCATCGTGTACAAGGCATGATAAAAAACCATTATAGATTGTCTTTTAATGCTAGTTAAAAAGTTAAATGTGTATAAACTAAAATATAATAATATTGTTACTATTCATTTATAATATTATGTATGTGGATTATTCGGATCGTGTAAAAACGTTTGAATTAGTCAATAGGTATAATTGTATGATTATTATAGTACACGTGTTAATTACAGTACCATCTCCATTAACTTGATTTGAATAATTGTCCCGAATAATTGTTGTTTCCAAAATTTATCGAAATCCCGAGTTTTGGAGGTTCTAAACTGTGGGTGTATATCATAATAGTAACATAGTTTAGTAGGTAAATAAATAAATGTTCGAAGATCAGCGATTGCAAGAGACGGCTTCGCGATCAACGTCGAAACTCGTGTGTAAATTGTAATATTATCAAGTAGTTTTATCCGCACAATATTATTTCTGTACAACAATAAAATCGTAATGTAAAATAATATGATATTATTATGACGAGGGTCGTGAACGAAATTTACAATAAATTCGTGAAATTTTTCGATTTTTTTTTTTTTTTTACCGTCGCGTTCGTTATAGGTACTAGCCGTAAATTATATTATTTTATAATATTTTAAAAATAATGTTATGTTTTCGTCGGACTTCGACAACAGCGCAACAGAAGACGTGGTACGTGTCGATGTTGACGTTGGCGTTCAAGACTCGGACGATCCGCCGAGGCTCGAAACGCAACACCCTGCAAGCGCCGTCACAGTTATACACTGTGGGCTTCATGAGTTAGTGGTGCGGACTCTTTGCTTTTTTACAAAGTCCTGTGCCACTTTATCTTCGTGCCTGGCTTCCAGGGTATGAAGAATTGGATGACCTAAATTATGGGAAAAAAGTTAATCAGTAAATTCTACTGAGCAGTATTATTAATTGTTATGGTTTCATGTGTTGTTTGGTCTTTGGTATACATAATCTTTGGTGTACAAAATAATATTAGATTATCGTTTAAATTGAATGCAGGATTATATTATACAAAGTGATTTACCAAACATGATACCTCTTTTTTTTTTGCTTATGCAGTTATTAAAAATATTTATTTTTTTTTAGAATTTTGAAAAATACCTAGTATAATTTATAAATACTTTGTATTTGAATAGGTACTGTGGTTATTGTTAAAATTTAAGGAACTGTAATGTTATATAACTTTGGTTTTAAATGATAAAGACAATTTTTATTAAACATAATTCAGAAGATTTATATATATTTTAATTTTGTTGTATCGAATTCAGTTTTCTAAAAATAGGTCTAAAGTATATTTAAAAATGTTAACAATACATTTTAAATAACTACATTATTAAAGAAGAAAGGAGTCAGGATGCTTCTGGTTGGGGTGTATTACTCTTTGTTCATCATTTATATTTGTAGATATTAGAAAAATAACTTCATTTAGCATTATATTTAAAGCTATTAAGTTACGAACTAGTTTTTATTTTTATTTTTTGTACATAAAATATATTAGGTATTTAAATAATTTTTAAATAGATATAATATTTAAACTAAGTTCTTTTTATCATTTTTATTATGTACAATATATATTTATATACATTTTAATATGTAGTATTAAAACATTAAAGTGTTTAAGTTAAAAAAAAAAATTATAAAAAACTGTTTAGCTGACAACTTACATGAACCACTGATCAAAGCAGTGTAGTATATAATTTCTTTTTTAGTTCAAAACAATTATATCTCTGATGATGAGGGCATTCAATGGGAATTAAACATTTTAGTTTTTATTTTATTTTTTACAAGTTAGTGTTCTGGTGTTTTAGTGCTTAAACAAATTAAATTAAATAAAAATAATCAAAGGTGGAAAATCCACTGGGCTTAAATATTTCATAGCATCGTGGACAGTAGTGCGTGACTTACACGATTTCATATCACAGGAGTGAACAGAATCTGTACTCGATAGGTCGATCTAAGCTTTTCGTTCATATTTCAAACAGTAAAATGTGAAAATTAATAGAATCTGGGATTAACGAGTTATCTCCAGTCATTATTAGTGTGGCCAGATAACTGATATTAGGAAATGGGGGAGAGGTAGATTATCTTGATTTTAAAATGTGTAGTTCTCTTTTTAAATAAATTCACATTTTTATTTTGTTTTGGATTTACAAACATTCTAAATAAACTTATTACTTTTTTTAAAATTAAAATTTGATTTTTAATCATCTTTGGTCCGTGATTTTTTGTAAAACTACACATAAATAAGAGATTTACATCATTCAATAACGAATAAATTATAATTATATTGTAAATACAAATTAATATATATATTGTATTATATTTATAAAAATATATGTTCAATTGTTAACTTACCATAATAAAGATAATATATAAATATGTCATAAAAGTAAAATTAATAGGTGTATCATTAAGAGAACGCACACCTTAATGTGTTCTATCCGTCTTGCAAATGTACAAAATATCAAATTTTTGTTCAGTAAAACCAATTTTGAGTGTTTAGTTTAAATATTATTAGAAAAAAATGACCTATAGCCAAACTTTAAGGTATGAACATTATCTGAGCTCTATCGTCAATTTTTATAATTTAATTTTTAATTGAATCATAATCATTTTTTAAAATTAATATTTTTAATACTCATAAGTTAGGTTAGGTTATAATTCACTTAAATCGAACAAACCGACGGAAATATACAGTTAACGTTCTTATTTTTTAACTTGATATGTTATTTTACTCTATTATTTAAACACACAAAATTGGTTTTACTGAATGAAAATTTTATATGTTGTACATTTTTAAGACTTAGACAATATCATCGTGTGTGGCGTCCTCTTAAGTTGTTCGGGATTTTTGTTATTTAATAAGTATCTATCGATTATTCTCAAACATTTTTCAAAGTACCTCCATTAATATTGAATGTTAGAAATATGCTCATAACAGGCCTTTTATTGACTATGACGGCGAGTTATAATAATTATAGTAGAAGCCTCTTATTAGGACCTTTTTTTTTTTGGACCAAGATGATGAAATGTGTCAATTAACTAATATTTTATAATAATCGATTGGTTTTATTTATTATGAAAAAAAAAATGTATGGGTAATTAAAGAAAAAAAATATCTGCTATAAAAAAAATAAATT